GCCTACACGGTCTCTGGAGCACCGCCAGGTATGACACAAAAACAAATAAAACAAACCAAAAATTTAACAAAACCTTGGACTGGAGCAATGGTACAGAGGGTAAGGCGTTTGCCTTGTACTCTACCAAAAGGGGTTCGATCCCCAGCATCCCATATGGCCCCCCAAGCACTGCCAGGGGTGATTCCTGAGTGCAGACCCTAGAGTAACCCCTGGGCATTTCCGGGGGTGGCCCAAGGAAGGAAAAAACAAAAAATAAAATAAAATTTAACAAACCAGAACCCTACATAATTCTACTTCTCTGATCCCCATTCAAATCACAAAACTAAAAACTGAGCACTGTGACGACCCAAGAGAATGTTACATTCCTTTCACCAAACTAAAGGTAGTTCTGGCAGCTACTTCCTGTTCCTTTTCCCTCCATTCGCTTTCAGTTGCAAGATGGAAAAACAAAAAAGGGAACTTCCATGATGGTGCAATAAAACAAGAGGGAGGAGCCACAGCAGAAAAGGCTGCCTTTGGGGCTGGAGCAATAGCACAGCGGTAGGGCATTTGCCTTGCACAAGGTCGACTCAGGTTCGATTCCCAGCTTCCCATAGGGTCCCCAGTTCTTGGCTGTGTTCGGGGGAAGCCCATTTCAGCTAAGACCAGAAAAAAGCACTGAAGGCAAAAAAAAAAAAAATCATCTCCTTCTGGGCCAAATGCATCATGGGAAAGCTGCCTGCTGGGAAAGGCCAGTTCCAGGGGGTGAGGCTCAAGCTCCCTGGTCTCACTCTATTTCCACACCTGCTTCAAAGGAACCGGTCGAGAAGCCGCTGGGAAGAGACTCAAGGCTAAATTTTCAATTTTATGAGCGCGCATGTACATAGACAAGAAATAGGCCAACATTTGGAAAAACTCAATGTGATAAAGAACACGTGAAAACGTTACAAGGGGCTGGAGTGATAGCAGCACGGGTAGGGTGTTTGCCTTGCTCGAGGCCGACCCAAGTTTGATTCCCAGCATCCCATATGGTCCTCTGAGCACTACCAGGAATAATTCCTGAGTGCAGAGCTAGAAGTAACCCCTGTGCATACCGGGTGTGACCCAAAAAGCAAAAACAAAAAAACAAAAAATAGTTAATGGTGCGAGGATTGAAGTTTTTGCGGAAAGGACAGCAACTGTGTTTGTTTGTGTCACCGGATTCTTTTCCTTTTTTAAAAAAAAGGTTTTGGAGCACACCTGGTGGCATGCAAGTCTTTCTCCTGGTTTTGCTCAGGGATATCTCCTGCCTGTGCTAGCAGGGATCAAACCAGGGTGAGCCCTCTGAAAAGCACCTTATGCTTCGTTCTCTCTGGCCAGGGTGCTTTTTCTTTACAACTTCATTGAGAAATAATTCATGGACAGCATTGAAGGTGTACAATCTGATGGGTTTTGACAATTATTATACCCATGAAACCATCGTAATTAAGAAGTGTTTGCAGAGCACCCCGCCAGGAGTAACCTCTGAGCACAGGCTGGAGGCATCCTCCAAAATACAAATAAACAAAGAAAACAGGTTTGCTGGGAAGGGACTCAAAAGATTATTATTTTTTTTATAATTTATTTCTTTATTGAATCACTGTGGAAAAAGTTACAGAGCTTTCGGGTTTAGGTCTCAGTCATGTAAATATCAAACACATTTCCCTTTACCAATACTTATTTTTAACCGCGAACCCCACTAGAACCCCACCTCCCACCCCTCCCAATTCCTGTGAGGCAGATGAGTTCTAGTTAATACTCTATCTACTTTGACTCGATACATTGTTTCGATAGAAGATGCACCATTATTGTTTAGAGTTTACGACCCCCCCCCCAATCAGACATGCTGAAACAGCCTTGTGAAATGATTTGCTTTCTACAGCTGAGCTTAAGAATAAAATGATGGTTTTGGATTTCTGCTATTTTACTTATTAACCCTGGAAGAATTTCTATTAAAAGTTAGATAGTTAAGAGATTGGTTTCTGTGCTCTGGAGTCGTGGCCGTGCCGGAGAGCCGCTCGTGGGGGGCAGCTGGAGACCTCAGTCGGGCGTGAAGGACGGCCCATTACAACCCCCTTCCCATGAGGTCCCTGCCGCCCCCGACCCCCGGCTCAAACCTGCTGTCCACGAGGCTCCCTGGCGGCCGCCATCTTTCTTTCCAGAGAGGAGCGGGCGAGTGGGTCAACACCCTTTCCCCTCCGGGCAGGCATGCTGGCGCGGTTTAACACATAGTCCATTTGCTTTTCTGCTCCAAGCGGGTGGTTTTCTGTGCTAAGTCCTTGTGCTTCCGGGGCCTCAAAAGATTATTGCATATGCTTTGCATGCCGAAGGCCCACATTAGATCTCCTGCCCCTTACCGCATGGCGCATGATCTACCAAGCACTGCCAGGAATGGGCCCTGAGCCAGCAGAAATCCCTGAGCACCACCTACTGTGGCCCAAATATTTTTAAAAGTAATATTGGGGCTGGAGCTACAGTAATTGTAGCTTGCCTTGCATGTGACCAACCCAGGTTCAATCCCCAGCAACCCATAGGGTCCCCTGAACCCCACCAGGAGTGATCCTTGAGTGCAGAGTCAGGAGTAAGCTCTGAGCACTGCTGGATGTGGCCCCCAATCAAAAAACAACAACAAAAATAAAAACCCAGTAAAAATAAAGAGTACAATCATGCAGTGAAGTATGGTAAAACTGGTATTTTTAATAAAAATAATAAGAATTGATTACCATGATGTTAATCTCCTTTCCTTTACCAGTTTCCCAGGATATCTGGATCCCCAGTCACACAAAAGAGCCAGCTGTTTCATTTATTTTTTCCACATACACCAAATCGTGGGCTGGAGCGATAGCACAGATGTAGGGCATTTGCCTTGCGCGCAGCCAGCCGGGCTGAGCCAGGTTCGATTCCTCCGCCCCTCACCGAGAGCCCGGCAAGCTACCGAGAGTATCTCGCCCACACAGCAAAGCCTGGCAAGCTATCCGTGACGTATTCAATATGCCAAACACAGTAACAAGAAGTGTCAAAATGGAGACGTTACTGGACCCGCTCGAGCAAATCGATGAACGACGGGAGGACAGTGCTACGGTGCTACACCAAATCGTGTTACATCCAAATTTTAGTGTGCCCATTTTATACATCAAATTTAAACCCAGAAATGAAATAAATGGTGATATAACACTTTCTACCCAAACAAGCAAAGGGCATTCTGCCCCATGGCTCTGTAAAATATCTGAGTATTAGAAAATGAACTAAAGCCACTTTTCATCACAAATATTAACAAGGGCAATGCAGGGGGCAGAGAGATAGCAAGGGGGGTTAGGTGTTTGTCTTGCTTGTGACCCATCCCAGTTCAATCCCTGGCACCACATGTGGTCCCCTGAGTACCATCAGAATTGACTCAGAGAACCAGAAGCAGCCCATGAGCATTGCTAGATGTGACCCAACTCCAACACTCCAAATCACGGTCACGGTCCTCCCGTTGTTCATCGATTTGCTCGAGCGGGCCCAGTAACGTCTCCATTGTGACACTTGTTACTGTGTCTGGCATATCGAATACGTCACAGGGAGCTTGCCAGGCTTTGCCGTGCGGGAACACTCCAAATAAATGAATAAATTTTTTAGAAAGCAATATTTGGGGACAGGAATGACTCCATGACAGAGAGTATGTCCCGCGTGGGTGAGGTTCTCGGTTGACCCCCAACACGAAGTGGGCACCCAACATTCAAACGTGGCAGATGTTTGACCCACTCTTGACATTGGTACAATGCTAAGAAGTATTAGGCACATTTACAGAGTTCCATTGTCAAGAGACCTCGGCCAGCAGTCTAATGCTTTAACGCTAAAAGCACTGTCAAGCGACCAAATCAATTCTCAATCCCCAGTAGCTGCAGAACCCACAAGACCCACATTCTATTCGATCCCTGTCAATCTTACATATAAAGGCAGTGATTGGCTATTCAGCAAATGGCTGGTTAAGTTGTCGTGTTCAGGTCGCAGAGGTCTGTAGTGCTAGAGAGAGACTGAGATGTAGAAGGGGCGGCTGGCAGCATTGGATGATTTCAGGGGTCCCAGGAAGCAAGGTGTGGTGTGATTCTCTAACAGCAGTGATTGTCATCACTTGCAAACAACAACACTGGTATAAGCCACAAACTATGAAATACCGACATCAGTAAGTGTCTCTCTCAAGGATGGAACCAACAGAATGTACAGATTTGTTACAAGATTTGCGGGGCCAGTTCCCAGATCCACAGGGGGAGCTGAAACTCCAGGAAAGCCAATGGGAGAGACCAGTCTGAGTGAGGACCAGAGCATCTCAGAGAAAGGACCTGGGTCTCAACGGGGATGCTATGCCAGAGCTCTGCTGGATCTAACAGAGGGAGGCAGTGAAGGGAGCTTGTCATTCCGTCACCATGGGGAAGATGGGGGAAAGAGGCCCTCGGTGCTAGATGTTACCCTGGATGCCTGAATCCAGGACAGGATGTGTGATGCCTTATCAGGCTCTGTGAGGTAATGTTTTTGTTCTCTCAGGTAATTTTGTTTTTATTTTTATCTTATTTGTTTTTGGGGTCACACCCGTCGACACACAGGGGTTACTCCTGGCTCGAGTCGCTAAGGAATTACTCCTGGCGGTGCTCAGGGGACCCTATGGGATGCTGGGAATTGAACCTGGGTCAGCTGAGTGCAAGGCTGACCCTACGCTGTGCTACTGCTCCAGCCCCATGATAATATTTTTAATCTCCTTCAAATCTCCCTTTCATTTTCTATACTAGGAAGTAAATGTGTTTTGCGTCTGTCTCGGCTCTGTGAGGGAGAGGAATGATAGGTTTTGCCTTTGCCTGAGCAATCCTGGGGCCCAAGGAACCTAATACAAGAGCACATGATGGAGATGTACGGAAGCGGGCATTAGCAGTGATGGGGGGCGAGGAGGGGCAACGGTCTATACACTGGGGTATGTCAAGTCTTTTGTACAACATGGAGCGAGCGCTGCAAAGCAAACAAACACCACGTTCCTGGAAATCAATTTCATTTCTCACATTAAGACATAAAATCACTCTTGCATTAGCAAACTTCCGGAGGTACAATTTGCATGAAATCAAAGAACAGATGATTCTCTGCAGTAGAGTCACACGTTTTCATTTTCTTAACTCAGATGACGGTAACATCTTTCCTCCTTGACAGCAGACACACAGGTCTAGCAGCTGAAGTCTTTTCCATTCAAAATGCAAACACTCTTCTTCTCCCACAGAACCAATGTGCCAGTTCAGTGACAAGACCACCAGCCCGTTGAAATGACAAGACGTTCACCCCTTTCATCCAGCTCTCTCTAAAGGGACAAAGCATGTTCTTCTATCGGGTACTAGATTCTCTGTGGCAGAAACTGCTTTTAAGACAACACAGGTAGCAAATGACCTTAGAACTAAATTCTAGAAATGCTCTTACAATTGGCCCAATAGCAATGCAAAATATATTAATATCTGTGAAATCCATAAAACCATGTACTTAGAAGTCACATCATTGAGACATACAAATTATATTACAAATCACATAAAGTGTCTGCTTAAAAATTCCAAGTATCTATCTTTTTCCCTCGCTCTCCTTCCCTTCCCTTTTATTTTTTTTTGAGGGGGGCAGTTGTTGCTATGATGCCCAGGTGGCACCCTCATGCTGGCTAAAATGGCACAGGTTAGCTGTGCTGTCGAAGCACCTGGTAGCACCGTTCATTATTTTGGCGGCACGCAGTGGCACACACTTTGAACGCAGCCCTCGCTGTGGGTCGTACGCATGGCTGTAGTACACGCTCACATTTTCTGGAGATGACACCCTATTATGAAAGGCACCACTGCCTGAACCACACCTGGCATGTGGGGTGATGCCGGGGATCCAACTCTTGACCTCACACCTGCAAGGCAGGGTCTCTCCTCCTGGGCCATCCCTCCGAAACTAGGTCTACCTTCTCTGATTCTGCTCTGGGTGAGGGGTGGAGGGGCTGAGGTATACCTGACAGTGCCCAAGGGGCTCTTCCAGGCTCTGTGCTCACGAATGACCCCTAATGGTACTTGGGGTAGGGGTGGGGCATATGTGCTACTGGGGACTGAACCAGGGTCAACAGTGTGCAAGGCTTTGAGACTATCTTTCTGGACACCCATTTCTGGTCTTTGTTTGGGGGCACACTTGGTTGGTATTTAGAACTTATTCTCAGCTTGCACTCTAGGATCATTCCTGATAGGGCTCAGGGGACTGATAAGGGTGCCCGGGACCAAACCTAAGTTGCCACATACAAGGCAGGCACCTTACATGTGTACCTTATGCTGTACCATCTCTCTGGCCCCCACACCCCCATTTGTAAACAACAGGTCTAGCAGAGCTCAGCCCAGCATCAGTTGGGTCAGTGGTCCTTGGGCACCCACCAGGACCACAGCCAGTGACGCTTAGAGAGTCACACACTGTTGGGGAAGCAATATGCTAGGCCTGAGCTCTACCAGGTGAGTCATCCCCCAGCCCCTGGGTATACACTGACTTAGTCGGAACCAAATTCTCCAGAGTGAAGTGTTGACATTTCAGTGCCCACGCCTCTAAATGAGGATGTCCGCAGGAAAGGGCAATGTGAGGGCGCAATGAAGCTGAAGTTGTGGAGGTAGATCCTGTGTGGATGGGAGATTTGCTGAAACTTCCTGAAATATTGAAATAATTTTTAAGTGCACATATTTTGAGGAGAGACAAGCTAAGCATGTGGACAAGCTTGAGTCGTGTGTCCTGCGTCTAATTTAAGGGTTTAGGAAAAGATTCTTTTCAAGCCCAGAGCATCAAGGGGATGTCTCAAGTACCTGTTCTCTCTAGACCTTTATTCTATGTGTTGTGTGTGTAGTTGTTCTTGGCCACACCCAGTGGCCAGTGGTGCTCAGGGATGACTCCTGGTTCTGCATTCAGGAATCATTCCTGGCAGGCTTGGGAAGACCATCTGGGGTTTGGGAGACTCACCCAGGCCAGCCACCTGCAAGGCAAGCGCTTTCTCTCTACCTATTATAGTCCCTCTCTGGCCCTTCGCTTGAACTTTAGTGAGTAAAATTCTTACCTCCAGAAGGAGGGAAGATTCTTACCTCAGAAAGAATTGTTGATTCTTTTTGACCTATTTACTTATTTTTGCTGGTGGGGGGGGGGGGGGGTTATTCTCAGCAATGCTTAGAGGTTGTGCCATTCCCAGGGGTGCTGGGGAACCAGGTGGGTCAGGGGCCAAATCAAACCCAGGCGTTTTGCACGCAAAGCCTGCACTCCAGACTGAAGTCATCTCTAGCTCCAAATTCCTTCATTCTTCAGAGCCAGAAACTTCACTCCCTAAAGAGGTCAAATGTTTTATGCTCCTAAAGAGGTCAAATGTTTTATGTATTTCATCTGTCTAGGAAATGATGTGCCTGAGGCAACAGCCTATGCGTAAATTTAAAGGACATTAAAATACACTTAAGAAACTATAAAATTAGAAGGTATCAACAAAATGCTTTATGTCCAGAACATACTGAGGTTGCCCAGCTGGTTTACATGTGATTTTAAAAGACTAAAAGAAGTTTAGCATCGGCATATCAATAGGTTAGACAGTATTAGGGCTGGGAGGAGTGCAGGGTGGGATCTGGCTTATCTGACTTTCTCTGTGATTGACTCTAGAAGTAGAAATTTACAAGAACTATTTTTTGTACAAAAGATAATCTGATCCAAAAGTGTATAGATCACCTGAGATTCTAGAATGTTGATCGACACAATCAATGTGGAGTTCTTTAAATTGTCTACCACAAAAATACTAGAACTGAAACAGTGAGAATCACCAAATGCCACTCGGCCTCTGTACTGACATGAATTAATAGGCTGCAGAAGTGATAATATTAGAGAAATAATATTAAGGGCTCCTGACGAGGAGGTCTGAGGCCCGAGGTTTAATCTACGCACCCAAAAAAATAAAATAAAATAAAATAACAGCTTTAGAGAATAAAATTTGAAATTATCCTTGAAGATTAAAAACAAACAGGGTTGGCCGGGGAGATAGCTGAGTGGGCTGGAGTGCATGCTTGGGGGAGACTTAGATTCCTCCCGTCGCTGGCACCATGAGGTTCCCCCGGCACTGGGAGGGAGCGTGCACCAAGCGTGGCCCTCCCCCAACACACTGCCAGGAGTGGCCCCCAAACGAAACAAAACCAAAAAGCAACTGACTCTACCAAAGACTGTATCTTCACGATGGAGCTGAGCGGTTCGAGGTGCCAACTGCACTGAAGCCGCATCTGATGCCATCCTTCTGGGAGTCCTGCACACCACACTTCTTACTTCTCCGGGGGCCTTTTGGCTGTCTCGGCCATCAGTACCCACAGGCTTGAGATCATGGACTGCAGGGTCCCGTCACCTGTCTGCTGCGAGTAGCACATGAAGGTGGCCCAGATGAAGGCGCAGACACCCGTGTACGCCGTTCTCCAGTGGAGAGGCACGAAGCTGAAGTTGGTGAGCTGCGATACACACACAGTCTGTTAGTGCCTGGCGGAGCCCAGAGCCCTGAGTCACCCACCACCCACTGCGGGGCCAGGACTCACCTGGACGAAAGGCCAGTACATCAGTCCAGTCTGCAGGAGAGAGAGAGAGAGAGAGAGAGAGAGAGAGCTCATTAGCGCACCCAAGCGTCACACACACACACACACACACCCGCGGCTCATTCTACATGAGATTAAGAAACACCAGGCAAACTGAAGGCAGACGAGGTATTGCATTTCAGACAGACGCTTAAATTAGACTGCAGAGGTCTCGAGGGGAAAGCAGGCTGGGGAGTGGAGGAAATGATGCCGGAATCATTTTTCAAGTTATACTTGTCGACTGAGAACCAGTTTGAGCAACCACTTTTCAAACTAACAATGTGACTACATACCCATGGCAACTTCCCTATTCACCCCAGCAAATGATGCAGAGATTTATGGATGAAAGGGCCATGCAGAATATTTTCTGTTTGCTTGGGGGAACCACACCTGACTGTTCTCAGGGCTGGTTCCTGGTTCTGCACAAACTCCTAGCAGGTCTCAGGGGACCATACTGGTGCCGGGGATGGAACCCGCGTCAGCTGCATGCATGGTAAATACCCTAGTTGTACTCTCTCGACAGCCCCCATGGATGAATTTTCAAAACACTGTAACTGAGGTGCTGCAGAGATGGCAGAAAAGTACTGCACCACGTGCCTTGCATTGCATTGTGAAATGCACTGCTAAGAATATATTCAAACAGCTTCAGTGCTCTAGAAAAGGTTTGACTGACATTTCTTATTTTCATAAGAAATTACAAAGTTCTTTTGAGATGAATTTGAATAGCCTTTCGTGCATATCATCTGGTTTTCCAGGAAAAAGGGAAAAAGGTACAAGCCAGAGGAGTGTTTGCCTTGTACTCCGTTGTACCCCGGGAATCAGGATTCACACACGGTCCCCGGAACATAGATGGGGATAGTCCCAGCACCACTAGGTGTGGCCCCCAATTTGCCAAAATAAATAAAGTCATCATATGTATGACCTTATTTAAAAGATATTTTAAAGACAGAAATCTTGGTTTGTAAATCATATCTCCTCAAACTGAAGTCTTCAGAATTATCCTTAAGAGTGGTATGACTACTTGGATTTAAATTTTTTTCCCTAAAGCTCTACAATAAACTGTCTCAACTATCTCAAGTATTTAAAAATTTTAAATCTATAGTTACTTAATAATCAACTATTTAGGGGCCAGAGAGAGGCACAAGAGTTAAGGCTCTTGCCTAACATGCAGCTAATAACTACTGCCTGGCTTAAATCCAGGCACTGCATATGGTGTCCTAGTGCAACCAGACATGGCACCTGAACACAGCCAGGTGTGGCCACAGAGCCGAACCAAAACAAACAAACGAAACAAAACAAACGGGCACAAAGGCTTTACTGCTTTAGCAAAAATGACCAGAAAAACTCAATTCAAAGACAGCTTTATAAAGGGCAATTATTTTTTCTTTATGCCAAAGCGTTTGCGCTGGTGGGTGGATCGGCGGGGGGGGGGGCAAGCACCTGGATGTATAAGGCCTTGGATTCAATGCCTGGTGCCACCATGATAATAGAAGCAACAATGTCTGAAAAAGAACGTGGTAGCAGTCAGTGGCTGCCTAGCAGAAGGAGCTCCTGGTTCCCTTCAACAGAAGGAGAAAGGGCCACTCCGGGGAAAGGCTGAGTGCCGTGCCAGGGCAAGGTGGGTCCAAGGTAGGGCCAATGAGCCTAGAACATCTTGTTATGCCAGGAAGTGTTTTAACAAACAAGAAGTATTACTATCACCACCCCATAGGAAGGAACTCTGCCTGTCCATACGTGGGTCACCTGAGCCCCTAACATAATGTGAAAGAATTTTAAGCCAGCATAAACTCTGAATTCCTATTTAAAACAAACAGAAGATAATACTTAACTTGGACAGAAGAGTTCTGAACTCTCATTCTTTTTTGGGTGGAGGGGAGGGAGGTTGGTATGGGGGGATTTGGGCCACACCCAGGAGTGCTCAGGGCTATCTCCTGGCTCTATGCTCTGGGATCACTCCAGGTGATGCTCAGGGGCCAAACTCAGGCCAGCCATGTGTAAGGCAAGCATCGTCATCCCTGCTATTAACTATCTTTCCAGCACTGTACTCTCTTCTTGATGGAAGGAAGAACTATACCCCAGTAGAGGAAATCAAGGAAGACGTGTGGCTTTAATCCTGCTTGTCATCTGCCTCCAACCATTTAGTGGGCAGAGCCAGAAGGAGGCCTGGGGTAGATACCACTGTACAGAAGATGCCAAGGCAGAGTGAGCCACAGGCACAAGAAGGCTGGCACTGTTTTCCATGGGGATTACGTACATGGGAAGTTCTAGGCCAGGCTCTAGTCTAGAAACCTGAAAGATCACCTTTGTACAAACAAAAGCATCAACAAGCTCTCAGTCAGAGATAAACATCATCCCTGACTTTGCCAAGCCTTAAGGACTTAGCTCAATAAATCATCATGGAATAAATGAATAAATATTTGTTGGACAGGTATATCTGAATTCAGCAAACAGTACTGCAGGTGATTTGTTTCAAGCCTGAAAAATAATCCTTGGATACATCATCCTTTTCTGTTAACACTTGTGGAGTTAAGAAGGTTCTTTTACACCATCCAACCAGCACTACCAGGCCCAAAAAATACTCCCTGGGCCAGGTATTGAACCCAACAGTCTGGTTAGCTCAGTGTGGCCAGGAGTGGCCTGGTCACTGCTTGGGGGTCCAAACAGAAGGTTCTTTTCACAGAGACTGGACAGACTGTACAGCTGGGCACACCAGCTCTGAATGTAAAAATGAATCAATGAAACCACTTACATCCATGAACTCTCTTATGGGATAATCTCGTTGGCTCCAAAAATTCACCCATGAACTGTGATAATAGCACTACACTGTAGCACTGTCCTCCTGTGGTTCACTGATTTGCTTGAGCGGGTACCAGTAACTTCTCCATTGTGAGACTTGTTGTTACTGTTTTTTGGCATATCGAATACCCCACGGGGAGCTTGCCAGGTTCTGCCGTGCAGGCGGGATACTCTCAGTAGCTTGCCGGGCTCACCGAGAGGGGCAGAGGAATTGAACCCGGGTCATCCGGGGGCAGCCGCATGTAAGGCAAACACGCTATCCACTGTGCTATCGCTCCAGCCCAGCTGTGATTATAGTAAGAGGAAAGAGAAGAATGTCGAAAGCATTATGAATTGTGTGGCTAAAACACAGAGACCTGGAATATTGCCTCATAGTTGGAAGTCTGTCTCATGAGCTGGGGGAGAAGGCAGCTGGAAAAGAGAAGGGATCACTAAGTTAATGGTGGTTGGAGGGATTGATCCATTCAGGATCATTCGGGATGGGAGACGTGTGCTGAAAGTAGATAAAGGACCAAACATGATAATCTCTCTGGATCTGTATTGCAAACCATAATGCCCAAAACTAGAGATAGAGTATGGGGAAAACTGTCTGCTGTGGAGGCAGGGTGAGGGTAGGGAAGGGGGGGCATTGGTGGTGAGGACTGTGCACTGGTGGAGGGATGGGTGTTTGATCACTGAATGATTGTAACTAAACATGAAAGCTTGAAACTACCTCACAGTGATTCATTAAAAAATAAATTTTTTAACTTAAAATAAAAAAATAAAACACAGAGACCTGATTCCTTTCCTACCCTGGGATCCCCCATGTTGACACAGGCAGGAAGCTGACATTCTGCTTAATTAAGGACACGCTTGAAGTCGCGTCTCATCCACCACAACGTGGGTGAGACACTATCATAGAATGTGTCTTGTGTAAACCCACTAGAGTCTTAATTCAAGAATTTTTTCACTAAATATATTAGAATTGAAAACATACAAAAAGATCTTGGTTGCATTCTTGATGTCTATTTTACCTTATACGTATTCCAGAATTTCTGTTTCAGGTCCAAAAATATGTCATCCTTTTCCTGGAGAATACTCATACCTATTGGCATAAACACATACCAAATTGATTTATTTCTTTCAGTTTGGGAAGAGTGCGTTATAATGTTCACATTCATTTTCAAATTTCCTGTTCCAATATACAGAATAACCCCCCCAGCCACTCACCCAATGACTCTTCCAACTCAACACTGAAAACAGAATATAACCTCAATTTCAAAGCCAGCTTGATTTTGACAAAATAAGAAATGCGAAGGAAGAACAGCAGGGTATAAATATAATCAAAACAGGGTTGGGGAAATAGTCGTATAGGTTGCCGTGCACGTGACCGATCCTGGTTCGATTCCCAGCAATGCACACTGCTCCCCTAGCACGGCTGGATGTAACAAAAAACTCAAACAAAACAAAACTTCACAGGATGAGAGATCTCAAGTATTCCAACAACTACTCATTTCCTCTCCGTCTTCTTTCCAATCAAAACCTGAAGGTGGAATACCACTTCAGTCCTTCTGAAACATGTAAAAAATCTTGAGGTACAAGAATACTGAGGAGAAACTCAAGATGCAAACAGAAAAGTTCTACTTTCAGAAGAGTGCAAGAAGGGAGAGTGCTTTGACAATTCCCTATGAAGGCTCAGGAGAAAGGGGGAATAATGCTTTTTTCTTGGGGTGGAGTGGGGAGGGTGATTCCATTGCAGAGGACCCACAGAATAGGTCTCAAAGAGGCCCAGTAGAACTGCTAACCCCTGCATCAGCTTATCCAGCAGAAATGAAGCCCACAGCACTCTGTGTTACCCTCCTAAAGCTTTGCTCGAGGCTGGCACTGTGACAGAGGAGGAAGGTGGCTTCATTCGACAGGTTCAGGACAGTCCGAACCCAACCCAGGATGCAGGATCCTGAGTCAGACCTCCACCCCAGTCCAAAGGAGCATTTGATCGGGGCAATTTCCAAGTGCTCTGGACAGCCGCCAGCCCTTCCCACTTCGTTTTACCATGATGAGAAGGAAACAGGGCCAGAAATCTGAAAAGTCAAACAAGGCAGCAATCTGGACAGGCATTTGTCCTGGGGGGCCTGAATGTCCTCCCTCCGGATGCCCTGATACCTCTGGCTCCAGACCCACCGGCAACCTTTGCCATCAAGACTGGTGGCAGGGCTGGAGAGGCACATCAATGGGTAGGGTGCTTGCCTTGCAGTAGGCCAACTCTCACTGGCACCATGCTGCTGATGGTTCCCTAAGCACTGCCGGGAGTGATTCCTGACCACAGAGCTAGGGATAAGCCCTGAGTATAACCCAGGGTGGCCCCAAATCCCACAAGCAAAGAAGAGATTAAGAAGGTGGCACTGGGGCTAGAGCGATAGCACAGCGGGTAGGGCGTTTGCCTTGCACACGGCCGACGCGGGTTCAATCCCCAGCATCCCAAATGGTCCCCTGAGCACCGCCAGGAGTAACTCCTGAGTGCAGAGCCAGGAGTAACCCCTGTGCATCGCCGGATGTGACCCAAAAAGCAAAAAAAAAAAAAAAGGTGGCACTGACTGTGTTTTCTTGGACTAAGTCACTCCACCCCACTGTGTCCTGGTCTCTTGTCTATAGCACGGGAAAATAATCAGAGTTTATTATTAGAGTCTCTGCCCCACGGGGTAGTTTGAAGAAGAAGGGGTGGGGGGCTCGTTCTGAGAAACGAGTTTTCGCCCTGCTATTAACCCCCTTCCCTTAGTCACAAACACCTGTTTGGAAAGTCGGGCCTAGGAGCCACCCTCAGGGGGACCCAGCAGGTGTGGTGAATAATCTGGCAGCCCTGCTTTCAGGGCACTGTCCCCTCACCCCCAACCTCTCAGGCCACACAGGTCTTGAGGTGGCAGCAATGGTGTCATCGGGCAACCCACTCAGGCCCTTCTGTCTCCTGTGAGGAAGGAAGTGAATGTGGCCCCCACAAGAGGCTCCACAGGGCCACGATGATTTCCTCAAAGTAGCCACTGGACCGCCTCAGTCTGGCTTAGAAAATCGTCCCCGCCGCCACCCACAGCCACCACCGGCCCCAGGCGAGGGAGCTCAGAGGCAGACCCCAGGACTGGGTTTTTCCAGGAAGGGGTTGCACCTCCTCAGCCCACTCCCTTCTGGCCCAGAGAAATGATTGACTGGGGGACAGAGAGCCCCTCCATTGTTTTGGGTATTAAGGACCCCAAAGAAGTTTCCCAAAGCCGGGTCCTAGGGACAAAAGGGAGATTTTTTTTTTTGAGAAGGGGGTTCTCTGGGCCCACAAAGGTGGAGTATCCTCCAGCAAGGAGCCTGAGGGACCCTCACCTTTTTTTTTTTTTTGCTTTTTGGCTACACCTTACTGTGCTCACTCTGTTCAAGGGTCACTCCTGGGAGTCCATACGGGGTTTTAAAGACCCAAACTGGGTCAGGCACATTCAAGGCAAGCACCCTGCCTGCTGTACGATCTCTCCGGCCCCCATCCCCTCACATGTGTTTGTGAGTTTGGACACGGGACAGGCCTCTGCCAGCAGAGCAGGACTTGCATCCAGAACTGTGAAGTTTCTGGGGAACCAGGCCCAGGCAGCAGTTTCTCGGGTCCTCACGTGTCTGCGGGGTTGTGGAAAGGAGCACCTGTGCTGGAGAGCGGGTTCTCCAGGGGCAGACGGCCCGCAGCCTCCACCTGCTCACAGAGGTTGTGCTGCTATGGTGTGAGGCTGGGGGCTCTGCAAAAGCCCAGGGGTCTTTACTTCTGGGAAATGGAACCTCAGCCCCCCCCACACACACACTAGTACACACTCACAGATTCTAGTACATACACTCACAGGTACACAGTCACACATACGCAACACTCTAGTGCACACACTCATAGTCACACACTTTTATACACACACTAGTACACACACCCACAGTCACACACACACATCCACACACTAGTATACACATACTCAGACATACACACAGCTCACACACACACTCAGACACAGTCACACTCATACCGACACTCACACTCACACACACACACACACTCACACACCCCACCTGCTGCCCAACCCGGCGCCCGTGCTCCCCGGCGCCCCGACCCAGCGGACCTTGGCCCCGGGTCCTGCCTCCCCGCCTCGGCCCTCGCGCCGCTGCCCTCCAGCCCGCCCGGCCGCCGGCCCTGGCACCCAGGCGGCTCTGCCCCGCAGGCCCGGCCCGGCCCCTCCAGGCCGCCGGGGCCCTCACCGGTGTAGAAGGCCGAGATGCCCACGGGCGCGGCGAACGCCTGGTCGCAGACCACCTTGGCCAGGATGGTGCGCGGCGCGCGGCCGGGCAGGGCGCGCTCCAGCACGCGCATCCACACGTAGTTGAAGTTGCCGTGGAAGGTCACGGCCAGCGCGGCCACGCGCCGCGTCTGCCGCCAGTCGGCCGGGCCGCCCCGCAGGCGCTGCTGCAGCGCGTCGCCCGACGAGTACAGCGCCGCGTAGAGCAGCACGTTGGTGGGCCACGGGTAGCGCTGCACCGCGCGCGGCAGCGCCCGCCACCAGCCCGCCATGCCCGGCTCTGCGCGCAGCGGCGGCCGCCGACGGGCCCCAGCCGGCCGCCCGCCCGCCCCGCCCCGCGCCCCGCCCCGCCCCGCGCCCATTGGGCGGCGCCGCGCACACCCCGCCCGCGCCGCCCAATCGCGTGGCCGCCGGTGGGCGGGGCGGCGTCTCGGCGCTGGGGCGGGACCGGCCGCGGATTACCCGACCGCTTTCGCCCGGAGGTTCGCGCCGCCGCGGGCGGGTCCCGTCCGTGGGCTCGGAGCGCGGGGGCGACTGATGGTTGTCGGGGCAGGCGTGCGTGTGAGTGTGTGTGCCTTGCGGCTAATGAGTTCTTTTGGAGCGTGTGTGTGTGTGTGTCATGCGGCTAATGAGTTCTTTTGGAGCGTGTGTGTGTGTGTGTGTGTCATGCGACTAATGAGTTCTTTTGGAGGTTGTGTGTGTGTGTGTGTGTGCCTTGCGGCTAATGAGTTCTTTTGGAGGTTGTGTGTGTGTGTGTGTGTGTGCCATGCGGCTAATGAGTTCTTTTGGAGGTTGTGTGTGTGTGTGTGTGTGCCTTGCGGCTAATGAGTTCTTTTGGAGGTTGTGTGTGTGTGTGTGTGTGTGTGCCATGCGGCTAATGAGTTCTTTTGGAGCGTGTGTGTGTGTGTGTCATGCGACTAATGAGTTCTTTTGGAGGTTGTGTGTGTGTGTGTGTGTGCCTTGCGGCTAATGAGTTCTTTTGGAGGTTGTGTGTGTGTGTGTGTGTGTGTGCCATGCGGCTAATGAGTTCTTTTGGAGGTTGTGTGTGTGTGTGTGTGTGTGTGCCTTGCGGCTAATGAGTTCTTTTGGAGCGTGTGTGTGTGTGTGTCATGCGACTAATGAGTTCTTTTGGAGGTTGTGTGTGTGTGTGTGTCATGCGACTAATGAGTTCTTTTGGAGGTTGTGTGTGTGTGTGTGTGTGTGTGTGTGCCATGCGGCTAATGAGTTCTTTTGGAGGTTGTGTGTGTGTGTGTGTGTGTGTGCCATGCGGCTAATGAGTTCTTTTGGAGGTTGTGTGTGTGTGTGTGTGTGTGTGTGTGTGTGTGCCATGCGGCTAATGAGTTCTTTTGGAGGTTGTGTGTGTGTGTGTCATGCGGCTAATGAGTTCTTTTGGAGGTTGTGTGTGTGTGTGTGTCATGCGACTAATGAGTTCTTTTGGAGGTTTTGTGTGTGTGTGTGTGTGTGCCTTGCGGCTAATGAGTTCTTTTGGAGGTTGTGTGTGTGTGTGTGTGTGTGCCATGCGGCTAATGAGTTCTTTTGGAGGTTGTGTGTGTGTGTGTGTGTGTGTGCCATGCGGCTAATGAGTTCTTTTGGAGGTTGTGTGTGTGTGTGTCATGCGGCTAATGAGTTCTTTTGGAGGTTGTGTGTGTGTGTGTGTGTGTGATGCGGCTAATGAGTTCTTTTGGAGGTTGTGTGTGTGTGTGTGTGTGTCATGCGACTAATGAGTTCTTTTGGAGGTTGTGTGTGTGTGTGTGTGCCTTGCGGCTAATGAGTTCTTTTGGAGCGTGTGTGTGTGTGTCATGCGGCTAATGAGTTCTTTTGGAGGTTGTGTGTGTGTGTGTGTGTGTGTCATGCGGCTAATGAGTTCTTTTGGAGGTTGTGTGTGTGTGTGTGTCATGCGACTAATGAGTTCTTTTGGAGGTTGTGTGTGTGTGTGTGTGTGTGTGCGTGCCATGCGGCTGAGTTCTTTTGGACGGTGTGTGTGTGCGTGCGTGCGTGTGTGCGCGCGCGCCATTTGGCAGATGAGTTCTTTCGGAAGTTCTCTCATCAGAGAGTGAGGCTGATGATTTTGTGGACCCCCCCAAAACCGTTGACTTGTACACTTCAACCTGGTGGTTGGAGAGACTACACAGGGCAAGGCGCTTGCTTACCTTGCAGGAGCCTAACCCAGGTTCTGTCCCCGGCATCACATATGGTCCACTGAGCGCTCCAGGATGAGCCCAGAGCTAGGAGTTCGCCTGGAGCACCGTCAGGTGTGGCCCCCACCTGATTTAAATTAAATTAAATGGCAGCATCTAGAGGTCCAGGAGATAGGAGAGCAGGTAGGGCGCTTTTCGTGTGCAGGACCACGCAGGTGTTTCATTCCCACCATCCACTGTGCTCCCCTGCAGCCCCGCCAGGAGTGGTCCTTGGCTCAGAGCCAGAAGTCCTTGAGCACTGCGGGGTGTGGCCCCCAAACAACAACAAATAATCGTTAAGTGTGTTCTGGGGCAGGAGGCAGAGTTGCTAAGGAGCGGGTAACGAATCTTAGTTACCCAGATGGTGGCATTTTTTTTCTATAGAGTCGATATGCAGGGAATTCACACATTCAACACCATGATTAGAGGATGGTGGGCCACTCTCATGGAACACCACGAAGGGGGCTGGAGTGACAGTACAGCGAGGAGGGCATTTGCCTTACATGTGATCAACCCGGCTTCGATCCCCAGCATCCCAGATGGTCCCCTGAGCACTGCCAGGAGTAACTCCTGAGTGCAGAGCCAGGAGGAACCCTGATCTTCACCAGGTGTGACCCAAAAAGAAAAAATAAATGCACAAAATTGAACATCCTTTCCTAAGTGTGAGTCAGGGCCTACAGGCCCGGATACCCGCTCCTCCAGTTTGGGCTTGGCCACCTGAGCCAGGTGTCTTTAGTGTTTATTTTTTTGCTTTGGAGGTGCTGGGAATTGGACCCAGGGCCTCACACATTCAGGGCAAGTGCTGTACCATGGAACCACATCCCCAGCCCTAGGGCAGGCAGGCGTCTTTGGAAATCAGACAGCGCCCTGCCACCCCGACTCAGCTCTGCTCCACTCTCCTCCCCTGCCCACTTTTGTTCTCTCTGGCTCCTATTTGTTTGCCCTATTTTGCATCTGTTTTAGCTTTGCACTCTGAAATAATCGCAGACCAGGTGGCCAGGGTACAGCTGGTAGGGCATTTGCCTTACAGGTGGCCGGCCAGCCTGAGTTCGATCCTCGGCACCCCATATGGTCCCCCAAACCCACCAGAAATAATTCCTGATTGCAGATCACCTGGGAGTAACCGCTGAGCACTGCCAGGTGTGACAAAAAAATCATAATAATAATTGCACAGGTCTGAAGCCATAGCACAGCAGATAGGGTGTTTGTTTTGCACACAGACCCAGTTTTGACTCCCAGCATTCCCGTGGTCCCCTAGGAGTGATTTCTGAATGCAGAGCCAGAAGTAACCCCTGACCATCACTGAGTGTGACCCAAAAAGCATTTAAAAACAAAAAAGGTTGGGGCTGGAGCAATAGCACAGCGGGTAGGGCCAACCCGGGTTCAATTCCCAGCATCCCATATGGTCCCCTGAGCACCGCCAGGGGTAATTCCTGAGCACAGAGCCAGGAGGAACCCCTGTGCATTGCCGGTGTGACCCAAAGAGAAAAAAAAATAAAAACAAAAAAGGCACTGAAAGCTAAACAAAAAAAATTTAAGCCATAAAAAATGAATAAATAAAATAATTTCAGACTAGGCCCCTTCCCCCCCAAAAAAAGAAATCCCAAAATATAAGAGTTCCCACATACCCATCACCAAGCTTCTGCAAATATTGACATCTTACTCAACCTGAGCACAATGGCCAAAACAAAGAAATGACCCTTGCTTGAAGCTTATAATCTACAGAGCTATTCACTTTGTTGCCAGTTGTCCCTGGGGCAAAATCTTTCTCCAGTCTCACTCTGCCTGGCAGCTGCATGCCTGACACCAGAACCTTCCTCTCACATCTGAATGTTCCGTCTATTTGGTAGTTTTATCTCACACAGTTTTATCTGCAAACGCTGTTTTGTAAACTGCTCCTCAGTCCAGGTCATATTCGCATTCAGGGCCTCTGGCCCATGGCTGGGCCGTCCTCCAAACAGGCTCCCTTATTACAGGACATTTGGACACATGGACACCAGGGCCAAGCGCGCACAGAGAAGGATCATGAGAGGGCTGGAGTGGAGCCGCGGCAAGCCAACAAGACTTGCCAGGACCTTGTGGAACTGAGAGATGATACACTTGTGCGTTTGCAAACTAGACTGAGGTGTCTTGCGGTGGCAGCCCTAGCAGGCTCTTATGAGCTAGGCTCTTTCCTCTTGGAGCTCAACCCATTTTCATGTCCTCCGACCCTTTTTCTCTTCCCATCTGCTCATTCCTGTTCCTCCTCGTCCTGGTCCAACTGGTCCAAGCAAATCATTCTCTGTAGTACTGCCCCCAGTCAGGCTCCTAGCACGTGCACGGACACACGGACGGACACACACACACACACACACACACACACACACACACAGCAACTCTGTTGATTATTTAAATCCCCTCTGTACTGTTTTCCTCTCATTGTTAGAAGAAGTTGCTACAAGCCTAGTGGCTTCCAACACCACAAACGTGTTGTGCTGGAGATTGAAGGGAACAGCAAGGCTGCTCCTTCTGGAGGTCTTAGAGGACCCCAGGGCCGCCTGCCTCCCTCTTCCAAGGGCCCTTGTTTCCTTGTTTTGACCACGGTCAGCCCACCTGGAAAGCCAGGATTCACTCCACTTCCACATCTTACTGGAAGGGTAGGGGAGAACAATTCCCAGTCTCTCTGTCTCTCTCTGCCTCTGTCTCTGTCTCTGTCTCTGTCTCTCTCTCTCTCTCTCTCTCTCTCTGTCTTCCCCCCCCCACCTTTCACACACACACACACACACACACACACACACACACACACACGTGGAGCCTCATTTTAGCTTAGTGCTGGGGAAATTCTCAACCCTGCTGGGGGCAGGGGGAGAGGGGGCTGCTCCAGGTGGTCTGGGGGATCAACCCTGGGCTTCCTCCCTGGCGAGCACACACACTAGCCCTTGGAGCTGTCCACCTGGTCCTCTTTCTCTCTTTTCAGTAGGGAAGGGAGGACTTAAATCTGCCTGCCACTGTTCATTCCTCCCCGACTACCTCCTTAGCCATCTTCATCTCTCTCCTCCCCAATGTTTCCTGTCTTAGTGGAGCTTTTCTTTCTTTTCTGGGAAGGAAACCTCCTAAATGGTG